ATGTAATGGAATACTATTGTGCTTTAAGAAATGATGAGCAGGTTGATTTCAGAAAAACTTGGAAAGACTTACATGAACTGACGAAAAGCGAAGTGAGCAGAACTAAGAGAACATTGTTCCCACTAATAGCAACATTGTGTGATGATCAACTATGATTGACTTAGCTCTTCTCAGCATTACAAGATCCAAGAAAATTCCAAAAGACTCATGATATGGAAAATGCTATCTACATACAGAGAAAGAACTGATGGAGTCTGAATGCACACTATTTTCACTTTCTTTTTTGTGTGCTTTTTTTCCTTTTGCAAACTGTATTTTATTTGTTTGTTTTTGAAACTTTTTCTTCCTTCACAACGTGATCAATATGGAAATAGGTTTTTCACGATTGCACATATATAACCTGTATCAAATTGGCTACCATCTTGGTGGGGAGGGGGGAATGAAGGGTAAGAGGAAGAAGCTTTGGAACTAAAAAATTCTATAAAAATTCATATTAAAAATTATCTTTACATGTAATTGGAAAAAATAAAATATTATTAGAAATGCTTCCAAAAAAAGAATGAAGAATTAACAAGAACAACATATTACCCAGAACTTCGATTTTCAAAATTTCCTTTTTGCATTTACCTTGAGTTTCCTGGGGTTTTTTTGTTTCCTAGTTATTTTTAATTAAATGCTGAATTCATTACTCTGTTGTTGCATTGACAAAATGTTTAGAAATATATATATATTTTCCCATAAGGATTTGTTTGATTGCATTCCAAAAAAAGAAAAGAAAAGAAACAGTATGTCTAGGCTCTTTTTTGGTCATGGTTTTTCAGGTAGTCTAATAATTCTTAAATTATCTCTCCTTGATCTATTTTCAAGGTCAGTTGTTTTTCCAAAGAGATATTCCACATTTTCTTCATTTTTTCCATTCTTTTGATTTTGTTTTCATCATTAGCTTCCACTTGTCCAGTTCTAATTTTCAAAGAATTATTTTCTTCAGTGAGCTTTTCTACCTCCTTTTCCATTTGGCTGATGCTACTTTTTAAGAAGTGCTTCTCTTCAACGAATTTTTATATCTTTTTTCCGTTTGGCTAATTCTGCTTTTTAAGGAATTCTTCTTTTTAGTGGATTTTTGTGCCTCCTTTAATATTTGTCCCATTATGTTTTAAGGTGTTCTTTTCTCGAGTATTTTTTGTGCCTCCTTTACCAAACTATTTATTCTTTCTTGCATCACTTCCATTTCTTTTCTTCATTTTTCCTCTCTCTTATTTGATTTTTTAAATGCTTTTTGAGCTCTTCCAGGGCCTAAGACTGGTTCACTTTTTTTCTTTAAGGCTCTGAATCTGCTTTGATCTCATTGTCTTCTTCTGAGTTTGTGTTTTTATCTTCCTTATCACCATAGTAATTTTCTAGGTCAGGTTCTTTTTTTCATATTTGTTTATTTTTATAGCCATTTTCTTGACTTTTAACTTTATGTTGAAGTTGGGCTTTATTCCAGGCTGTAGTGGGCCCTGAACTAAACTTCAGATTTTTTGTGCTGCTGTGTTCAGAGCTAGTTCTGTAGGTTTCTATGTTTCGGTTCTTCCAAGATGGTATGATCTAAGAAGGGGTGTGGTCACTGATCTCCTGGCCTCTGCTCTGATCTGTGATGAACCACAAACACTCTTTTCTGCTCTGAAACTGAGATCAGGATCCCTGCTCCTGCTAGTCCTTTTCTTCATCCTGAGTCTGCAACCCAGAACTGCAAATGTGTAATGCAACCGATTCCTGTACCCAATTCCAGTAATCTCCTTCTGACCAGTTTTCTAACCCCCTTACTCTGAGAATTCCAGAAACCACCACGACTGCTACTGATTTGGTAGTTCCCAAGGCTTGTTGCTGGTTTGCTGTGGCTCAGGCTGGCCTGGAGCAGCATGCACTGGACCTTACTCCACTCTTACCCCAGTGAGGCAGACCTTTCTTTTCAACCTTCTAAGTTACCTTGGGCCAGAAAATTGTTTCACCTCATTCTTGTGTTGGTTCTGTCACTGCAGAATTCTTTTTGAGGTATTATTATAATGTTGTTTAAAGAGGAATTTGGGAGACCTCAGGTAAGCCTTTGCTTTTACTCCACTGTCTTGACTCTGTCTCCTGATCCCTCTATAGATAACCTTCTTGATATTTTTATTTTTTTAAAATAGCAATTTAAAGCCTCACTAGCTACACCTATATATTATTTTAAACCATTACACAATGAAATAGTTATATAACATTTAGTTACAAAGTAATGCAGTAAACTTTTATGCCTGCCTTTTAAAAAAGATGAACCAAATCCAAATCTTTTGTTGAATAGTGAGAATGGAGTTTCAGATGGGAGAAGAAATCATTTGGCCAAATAAAACTTTAGTCCCATAGTCATTAAGTGCAATGTACTAAGGTCATTTCATTGGAGTATATGTGGGCAAGAACCTCTGTCCTGGACCTTTGCGAAAATATATATGTGATCAGAGACTCTTTTTGGTCCTCTATTGTGTCCTCCTGAGTGAGAGCTATGTCAAAGAAGATGGATCTTTGAACCAAAAATAGCAGTCCTCCTAGTAGACTTTACTTAGTCACTCCATCCTCTCATTTTCTTTTTCTTCCTATCTTTGGAGAGTGTTGCTTGGGATCCAGGCAGTTTCTCCCTCAAATTTCTCCCAGAGGAGATTGGCAGGGATGGTGGTGGTGGGAGATTTTGCCTCTCCTTTCAACACCAGCAACAATGGCAACTACACACTCTTGACAGCAAGAATATATGCTTGCCTAGATGAATATAAGATTGGATCACAAATCCATTGTTTCCCTCTTCTGCTTTGGGTTTGTTTCACTGAGAATAGCAATCTTGAGATGGGTATTTCTCACCTTGATGGCTGTTTTTTATATTTGAGAGGTTGAGATTTCCTTGATATGGGTACTGGTTACCTACCAAAAAGTGATTTGAACAAGAACTTCTCAAGAAGAGAAGGTGCATGATGTCAGGATGCTATTAAAGACTAAAATAGCTCAAGCCATGCTGTGGCTTGCCAGAAGATATGGACTTGAAAGTTGGAGACAGAATGGGTCAGAAATTGCCAACAGGATCACAAGTATCCTGGGAAATTTTACCTGCCAGAAGCATATAATAGGAGTAATAGGTATCATGTTTTAAGTGTTTGTCAATGTACACTTATAAATCTTTAGTGTTTGCATTTATTGGAAATAGCTTAAAAGAAATAAATAACTGTCCTATAATTATTCTACTTTGTAGATAGATAAGATATATAGATTTTTTTGTAGATAAGAAGGGGCTTTCTTAATTTCTATTATGTAGATCTTGGATATGAATCAGACCTACTCTTTACTTAAGAGATTCTGATTTGAAGGTGAAGGGGAATGTGAGAAAAAAGCCAGTTATCCTTTCTTTGGGATTTGCTGCCCTTGGACTGACCCCCTTCCACAGGAGTCCACTCTCTGTAGGAAGGACCTCACTTCTTCAACCTCAGGTCATGGGTAAGTAATTAATCAGGTCATAAATACCACTACGTGCATGCTTTTCTTCAGAAAATGTGTGTAAAGCAAAATATTTGATAATTGCATTAATAACATTTTTATTAATGCTGAATTTGTCAGTTATTCCTGAGTCACATTCAATAATAAAATGTATTTTAGGTGACATCTATATCCAGGACAGAACAATGTGAGGGCATGATTTCTCTATGGGATAAAGCTATTACTAATTCTATTATTTTTAGAACAAAAAAGAAAGGGTTCTGATGGGGGAAGCAAAAGTAGAGGAAACTGAATATTTTATGTGAGCAACAGCAAGAACTGACAGATGGATTAGTCTTTGGTGTACTGGAAAAGAATAGAAAGTATTTTGCTATAATTTTGCTAGGGGAATGAGAATTCTGAAATAAACAGGAAATCAAAGAAGAGGATATAGCAAGCTCTCAACCACTTATGCTTTAAAAAGATATTTCTGTGTACAGATTGGCTAAACCAAGGCAGCAAATTTAGGAGAGGAGCTAACTATTTTGAGAGAGGGAAGGAGGGAAGGAGGGAAGGAGAAAGAGAGAGAAAGAGAGAGAGAGGGAGAGAGAGAGAATATCATTATTAACATTTCATGCAATATACAGCTGGAGTGGAGACATAAACTGATGAATTCATGAGTTCTAAAATTTTAAATGGGACTTCACTGACTTGAATCATTGTGATTACTACTCATGTTATGCTGACTAGGAGATTCCTGAATGAAAGAATGGAGGGGGAAAAAACCTACTGTAAATGAAAAAAAAATCTACTTTATTGTAGAAAAAGAAAAGAAATTATTGCTAAAATAAGAATAGAAAATTTAGCTATGTTTAATCAGAATAAACTATTGCAAAACACTTTGGAAACTAACTTAAGAAACTATGAAAAATAGTTATTATAATAGCTCCCAAAGAAATAGAGCTGAGTTATTTGTTCTATGTAACTTTGTTTCTAAAACATCAGAATAAATTTTTCCCTAGAATTAGGATTTGATAGTGGAGAGCTACTTGAATTGGAGATAATCCTTTGAATCAGTTAGCCCAAATAAGAATGGAGGTTTGCAGCTTTGGTTTCCTTGTCTGAAAAGCAAAATATATACCTCATAGGGTTTTTTGTGAGGTAAGTGTTTTTCTAAGCATTAACGTGATACCTAAGGGTGAATAATGATTGTAATGGTGTATGTATGTATATGTGGAAGACTGGATACAGAAAGAAAGGAGGTTTGTTTTTGTTTTTGTTTTGCTTTTTAATGAGGCAATTGGGGTTAAGTGACTTGCCCAGGGTCACATAGCTAGTAAGTGTCAAGTGTCTGAGGCTGGATTTGAACTCAGGTACTCCTGACTCCAAGGCCACAGCTCTATCCACTGTGCAACCTAACTGCCCCTGAGGTTTTTTAATAATAGATAATAAGAAATAGACAAACTCTGTCTTCAGCATGATCACTTATAAAGCTTTTGGGAATGGTTTTCCATATCTAGTCATACCTGGATTTGTTGAACCATATTTCTCAGTTGCACCAGGAATTCTTTTGCTTCTTTGGCTCTATCTGATAACCCATTCAGAGCCTGGGAGAGCTGGCTCTGCAAAGAGAAAGAGAAAATACAGCACTTCTCATCACTTGAAATAAATACTAAGCAAACTAAATCAAACTTCCTACATTTGTCCATGAGAATGAGGTAATTTCAATCAAAAGTTCCTCCTCTCCAACCCAAGGAGTTTGCTCTATTGCAAATATTTTAGAGAGATTATCCTGAAATTCTATTGCAAAGTATCAGAGTCCCACAGGCAACTTGATATCTCATTCCTACAAGGGGATGAGCCACCAACCAGCCAGGTTTATCCAGTGGTCACTTTCAAGATCAAGTCATGAAGAAAATAGTATACACAATGAACACACTGTAAATGGAAAGAACAACCACAGAACAAATGAAAATGGATATTGCAAAATTCTAAAGAACAAACTTGGGCCCAAAGAAAATATATGAGAAAAATATCTTCCCTTACTTCTTTACAGAGTTAAGGGGTCCAAAAGTGTGGAACATTGCATATATTGTCAACTTTTTGATGTACTAATATGCTTGGCTGATTTTTTTTCTCTTTTAAAATTCTTTATTAAATGGGATCACTCTCTCAAAGGAGAAAGTGTAAGTGATATGGGATCTGTGGAAGTTTAGGTTATACAAAAACAAACTCTATCACTACAATTATTTTTTAAAATCTAGTCATTATAGTACTATTACCATCCCCTGAACAGAAGAATATAGAATTTTAGAACTAGAAGAAACTTCAGCAATCATCTAGTCCAAATGATACCCCAGAAGGAATTGCCACTATAGTATACTGAATAAGAGATTGTTCAGTCCTTCCTTCAAAATGTCTAGAGAGGGATAATCACTACCTCCTAAGGCAGCCTGTTCCACTTTGGGGTAGGTCTCATTATTAGGAAGTTTCCCCTAACATTTAAAAAAAATAGTTGAAGTGACTTCATTTTCTAAAATTCTATCTTGAAATCAAGGAATACATTTTTAATTTCCCTCTTTGCAACTTTCACCCATGACAACCCTTCAAATACTGAAGATGGCTATTATGTCCCCTCAAGTCTTATCTTCTCCAGGCTAAATATCACCAGTTTATTCATTGTTATGAATATTCACTGAACATATTAAGGGCATGAACTCAAGACTCTTCAACATCCTGGCTACTCTCCTCCTGACTCTCTCAAGTCCTCCTTAAACTGGGGTACTTACAATTGAAGATAGAGCTCTACATGTAGTCTGACCATGGCGGAGAACAAAAGGATTATAACCATTGTATTCCTGGAAATTCTTTTCTTAATGCAGCACAGGCTGCATTTTTGGTAGTTATAGCTGACTGACGACTTGTACTGAGCTTGTAATCCACTAAACCCCTCAGATTTCTTTCAGAAAATTTGCCTAACCATGCCTTCAAAAACATAGTCATCTGATAGTTTTCCTCGGTCCAATATAAATTTCTGTACCATTCTATGCAAAGCCTTCCATAAACTATCTATACCTTACTTGTCTGCCACAATCTTGTACAACCAGTTTTTGAAGTTGATTTTTTTTTTAAAAACCAGATGATTTTAGTAATTTCTATATTCCTTTCTTGCTTTAACTAACATCACTTTTCCACTTTCATTCCATCTTACTTTCCACTCCTTTCAATTACTGATCACCATCAATAGATGACAAAAGTAGAAATTTGTTAGCGTTGGAGGATTAATGGAAGGCAAGCCTGTTAATATGTTGTAGCTGTAGGTGAAAATTATTCTGACCTTAGTGGAAAGCAAGTTGGAATTTAAAAAGTAACTAAAATGTCTATGTTCTTGGACTCAAATATCTTAATGCTCAGTTAATATACCACCAAGACCAAATATAAAAAGAAAAGCCTCATATATAACGAAATACTTATAGCAGTACATTTTTTGTACTAGCAAGGAACTAGAAACAAACTAAATGCCCATTAATTAGTAATGACTAAACAACTTGTGGTACATAACCATAATATAGTATTCTTGCTCTAGAAGAAACTATAAATAGATGAATACAGAGAACTATGGGAATACGTGCACACATTTATGCAGAGTGAAATAAATAGAATCATGAAAACTATATATAATAGTTACACACATATATGTAATAGTTATATACATATGTATGTAATATATTTACATATATAAGGAAGTTATATATGTATGTAGAAATTAGATTAAGAGCTAGTAATTTGCATATATGTATATACACACAAATACAAGCATACATATGTTCTAACATGTTAGTAGAAACAAGAGCAGTAGCAAGACAAACTTGAATGCTATTAAATTATAATGATCACATTTGAGCCCCAAAGAAGTGCAAGAAAACACTTCCTTGCCCCATCTTTGAAGATGTAAGGACTCTAGGTGTGGAAAAATGCATATAATGTCAAATTTTTAAAAGCGTAGACTAGTTTTGCTAAACTTTTTTTCTGCTTTATTCTTTGTCATAATGAATACATAACATATTAACTCATAGATATATTTATATATAGCATATATAAAGTATAAATATAAGCATATGCTTTTATATAATATGTTTCATCACCAAGACATGCACATGTGTATACATATACATGCACCCATATACATATGTGTGTATCTTCCCACTGAAAGAGAAATACATTGGGAAATTTAGATGATATAAAAACAAAAATATAGTAATAAAACTCATTCTATAAAATTCTACTAGAACACAATCAATTAATTTAGTTTTCATGTATTAGTGTATTCCTTCCCAAATGACCTTATACCTACATTGTACCTAATCTATTTTTATTTATTCTATTTATTATTATTTCTGCACTTGGTTTCTCCCCTTTAGAATGTAAACTCTTTGTGAGTAGGGATTATTTTACTCATTGTAATTGTATCCCCAGTGCCTAGTGAAGTGCCTGGCACAAAGCAGACGCTAAATAAATACTTGTTGATTGGTGGATAACCTTTAGCAAAAGAGACAATCATTGCTCTGGTTGTCATACTAAGTTCAATAACTAGCATAAATTTATTTTTCATATTAAGAGAGCACCTGTAGCTAAGCTCGGTGGTTTTGCTTGCATAAAACTTCCTCCAATGCATACAAGATATATTCAAAGTAAATTGGAGGAACTGGAGGAATAAAAATAATAAATAAGATCAATGTGATAAGACTTATAAGATAGTATGCTATTTTTGTTTAATGAAAAGGCAAGTCCTCATTAAATTCTTTTTTTAATGCCTTATTTTGACATGTAAGTAACTCTAGGTTCTGGAAGGCTGGGCTGACAGGTTCTACCCATCTAGAAAGGATTCAAGTCTGGGCTTATGTTGGACAGTATATCTGTTGTTCAGGTACCAGCATAACCAAATTGAGAGAGCTTCATCCCCAGGTAAGACAAAGGGTGATATATTCTTGCAAGAAAGCAAGTCCTGAAGACTATGACATGAAGGGGCTGGGCTGGGATATGTGTCAGTGCAGGAAGAATTCATGTGGATGATATCACACATCCTTATATCATTAAAGTAAGAAGTAAAAATGGAATTTGGATTAAGAACTAGTTATTTAAGAACTCTGACATTGGTCTAGTTGTTTCTCTTGAAAAACAAGCAGCCCTTGTGTGCTGTGCAGGGATACAAAGAAAAGAAAAGAAAATAGTCTCTGTCCCCAAAGAGCTCATACTTTAATGAGGAAAGGAAACTACATGGAAATAACTATGTACATATAAGATGTATGCAGGGTAAATCGAAGGTAATACAAGTAAGGATCTTGAATTAAAGAGGACCTGGAAAGACTTTTAGAGAAGATGGTATTTTCGATAAGACTTGAAGAAAATCAGAGGCAGAGAAAAACAGGGAGAAAATTCTGGGCATGAGGGATAGCCAGTGAAAATGCAAAGAGTTAAGAGAGAGAAGGAGTGTTTCGGGTAAGGAAAATCAAGGAGGCCAGTGTCACTGGATCTTGGACTATGTAGTAAAATGTAAAAAGATTGGAAAGGTAACAGGGGGTCAAGTTATGAAGGGCTTTAAAAGCCAATTTTTTATCCTTAATCCTAGAGGTAATAGGGAACCATTGGAGATTATAGAATAGAGATGACAGGGTTAGACTTGAGCTTTATGAAGATCATTTTGATAGCAGAGTGGAGGATAGACTGGAGTGGGGAGAGACTTGAAGCAGGGACACCAACCAAAGGCTATTGTAATAGTCCAGATATGTAGTGATGAGAGTCTGCCCTCAAATGGTGGCAGTGTTCGAGACAGATGTTTTGAAGGTAGAATTAAGTGGACTTGGTAACTGATTGGACATAGAGGATGAGAAAGTAAGGAGCTGAGGATGAGTCCTAGGTCATAAGCCTGCATAACTAGGAGGAAATGGTGCCCTCAACAGTAATAGGGAAGTTGAGAAAAGTGGAAATTTTTTGGAGAAAGATAGTAAGTTTAGTTTGCACATTTTGAGTTTAAGCTGTATATAGGACATACGGTTTGAGATGTCAAATAAGTAGTGTTGTGATGCAATACTAGAGGTCAGGAGAGAGGTTAGGGCTGGATAAATAGATCAGAAAATTAGCTCCAAAGACATGAAAATTGAATCCATAGTGAGAAAATTAGATATTAATTTAGTATTTTGTATTGATTCCATTCTGTAATTCTCTAACAGCCTAAGCCATGTTTCTTTGTTTCTGAGTCAAGTTCAGCAGTTCATGAGTCCAGAAGTTCAGTTTTCCCTCTCTGAGTTAGTTTAAAATTCAGTTGTCCTATAAATCATCTTAACTCAAAGAAATACTTCATCTCTAAATAGCCTTACTTATCAATGTACAATTAAGGGAGATCTGCTATCTTACTAACAAGCCTTACAGAATGCAGGTTGGGTGCCAAGAAGTCTTGTTATTTCTGTTCAACTGACAAGCAGATGGACTCTATAAATCAACCTTTTCTGACAGCAGGATGAAAGGAGATGTTGTTGCTAGCCCCAGATGTCCTGCCAATTATATTGTTTTTGCCACCTATGATGCTTCAGACTTTGTGACCAATCATATTGTTTTCTACTTG